TTAGTGATTCTGGTAGGTAGGAACCTCTCTGGATGTAGTGTCTAGCCAAGAGCAGCATGTCTGCTTTCTAAATCCTTTGCATAAACTGTGAATATGCTTTCATTGGTACACACAGTCACCATTTCCCCATAAGGAAAAAGTATCCAGCAAGGTATCTGGGATATTTGTTTGTTTATTTTATTTGAAAATATGAACTCCTTCACTCCCATTAGGTAAATAACTGCAGCTCTGTGTCTCTCATTAGGCCGGCCTAGGTGCCAGTTCTGCAGATCCCAGGCACCGGTGATGCTGAAGGCTGACTGGCAGAGAAGTCATTGTAGAAAATGACCCGTGTGTCGCGGTGGACACCTAGCTGAACATGAACCAGCAATGTGCCCTTGCCACAAAGAAGGCTAATGGTGTCCACTCATTGGAGGAGTGTTGCTGGTAGGTTGAGGGATGTGATCCTTCACCTCTACTCAGCACTGGTGAGATGCACCTGGAGGGCTGGGTCCAGTACTTGGCTACACAGTACAAGGGAGGCATGGACATGCAGGAGAGAGCCCAGTGAAGGGCCACTGAGACAATTAAAAGATATGTCCTATCAGAAAAGGCTGAGAGAGTTGGGACTGTTTTGCTCTACTGGGTCAGGCTGGAATGGAGGTAATCTCCTTCAGAGCAGCCCATGTGGTGAGGTGTTTTGGATTTATGACTAAATCAGTGCTGATAACACAGCAGTGTTTTGACTTTTGTTGAGCAGTGTCTGCACAATGTTGAGGCTTTCTCTTTTTTCCAGCTCTGCCCCAAAGGAAATGAGCTGTAGATGGGCATGAAGTTGGAGGGAACATAGCCAGGACAGCTGACCAAAGGTCCAAAGGGATACTCCCTGTCATGCAATGTCATGCTTAGCAGTAAGAGCTCAAGGAAAGGAGGAAGTGAGGATTCTCATGGTTATGGCATTTGTCTTCCCAAGTAACTGTCATGTGCTTAACAGAAGGAGACTAAATACTGATCTGCTGATGGGAAGCAGTGGACAAGTTCCTTATTTAGCTTTGCTTGTGTGCACAGCTTTTGCTTCACTTATTCTTCTGTCTTTATCTTGATTCATGAATATTCCCACCTTCCTTCTGTTTTCTCCCCATACCTTGGGAGGAGGGAATGAGTAAGCGGCTGTGTGGGTGTTTGGCTGCTGGCTGGGGTCAACCCACCACACTTGCCTAGGGAAGAGAAGGCTCAGGGGATATCTCGTCAATCTGTATGAATATCCAGACACACGGAGAACAGAAACAGGCTCTTTTCAGTGGTGCCCAGCGGCAGGGCAAGAGGCAAAGGGCATGACCTGGAGCACAGAAGGTTACACCTGAACACCAGGCAGCACTTCTGTGCTTTGATGGAGCTCTGCCACGAACTGCCCAAGGAGGCTGTGGAGTCTCCCTCCTTGGAGATCTTCAAAAGCCACATGAACATGGTCCTAGGCAGCCTGCACTGAGTGGCCCTGCTGGAGCAGGAGTTGGGCCAGATGACCTCTGGAGGTGCCTTCTAGCCTCAACCATTCTGTGATTCTGTTTTTATTTTATTTTATTTTATTTTATTTTATTTTATTTTATTTTATTTTATTTTATTTTATTTTATTTTATTTTTATATAAAAAATCTTTCTTTCTCTTTGTTTTCTTGTCTGTCTGTTTAGCCCTCTTTAACACTCACTCTGGAGCCTGAGAGACACATACATGTATGTGAGCTGAAACAATTTACTAACCCAGCAAACTTTTTTTTTTTTCTTTCTTTCTTTTTTCCCCCTGGATTAGTAAATAAACTAAGATCACAGCTGTGTGCAACAAGCGTTAAACCTAGTGAGAACTGGGAAGTGCAACATCTGAATAGCAGAGAGAAAATGGCAGAGCTGCAACCTTCTCTGAGCTCTTTGTCTGTGGGCCCAGGGTGGGGAGAGCCAGTCTGAGTGATCTCTGACAGAGTGGCTGAGTTAATTTTCTCTTGTGGGTTTTCAGAAACTAAGTTTTCTGTATTTTAGAAAAAGGTGAGGAGTAGTTGCATATTTGGGGTGAAACCTGCCCTTACCAAGATATCAGTGTCCAAACAAACACAAAATAATGCCCTGTTCCCCTTGAGCTGCCATCCCACTCTTCTGGCTTTTCTGTAGGGCATTTTCCCTAGAATACAAGCCCTCTAAAGATCCTTAAAGCACCTTTCACTCAGATGGGATCTTAAGAATACCTATTGCTTTTCAGGCTTGTAGCTCCTTCACTTTGCTTACCTCATTCTGTTCTTCCATTCCTGCCCACTTCAGACTGGATGAAGAGTAAGTCTTTCATGTGGTAGTGAAATGTGAGCTAAAATGGACCTCTTTTCATGGAAAAACATAGAGAACAAAAAGTTACAACCTTACCATTGAACACTCACGTTTAAAATACTGAAGTTCTAGAAAAGAAAGGACTATTATGTCTCGGGAAGCAAGAAAGCACAGAAGAATTGAAGCAAGACTGGGGTTCCACCTACAGCCATATGCCTGGGGTTAGTTCAAACTCATTTTATCTTTTACTGTTTCCACCCAGGTACAACTGAGTGCTCTGCTTGCAGGCACTCCACAGCTTCACTGGCTCCTTGTTTACAGACTCCAACATCATTCATTCTCCCTTTAATTCTGACTATTTTACTGTAATATCCTTTGCAAAATATCAGAGGATAGAGTAAATTATTTTTACAATTACTTGTACGTATCTGTGGTTTTAGAAGTGGGAACTAGAGAACTTGCTGAATAACTTGCTTTTCTACCTAGTTCTTTGTCTTTAGCACGACAATTTCTGAACTGCCAGCTGAACACTACCAGTGCATATAGTTTTTCTATTTAAAAGCCATAAAAAATTATTCAGAATAAGAGTTGCATTAATGCAGTGAGGTGTGTGTGTGTGTTTTTTTTTTGCTCTTTTTTTTTTTTTAATTCAATCTGCTGCTGAAGGATATGTTTGCGTGTTCTAGTGAAAGTCTATCTGAGTTTATAAAGTATTTTAAAGAGGAAGGTATCTGTTTTCTAGGAACGTGTGTGGTTGATAGAGTCTTCCTGGGTTTCTACAGCTGAAGTTATTACTTCCTAGGCTATGAAGCAGTGCTCAGCACACACAGGTTATTGTGGGCTTCAGTTATGATAGATATGTGTGTACTTAAGTCTCTCCTGGAGACATGAAAGGATATTTTTACTTTGCTTTGCTTTATGAGCTCTTCTAAAATGTGGTCTCCACTTCAGAGACACTGCTGTAATGAAATATTTTCTAATATCCCATGCAAATATCAGCCTTTATACGCTGAGGCCAAAATAAATATAGACTAAAGACTACATCTACGCTGTCCTTAGGAACATGCTAGAGACCTGTATTTTAGGAGCCTGTTCTACATGTCCACACTGCCATGATGCCTCTGTGCTCTGCATTGCCTTTCAGAGAACAGTGTTGGAGTCAGTGTTAGCCAGGTACCATTACCAAGCGCTGTGGTAGGTCTTGTAGGCACTGGATGAACAGATAGAGACCCAGCTATGCCTCTCCTGCAAGGTATGCAAGGTTGGTTTCCTCCAAGAGGTACGTGTTTCTCCCCTAGAAGGCGGAGCAGTGTGTATCTTGCTGCCAGGCAGCATAAAAGGATGATAAATTTTAGGGCAAACACAGACCCATTCAGATATGGTTGAAACTCACCACAGAAGTACCTAAAGAGATTTATCTTAGATTTGGGGTTTCTCAGCAGGGAGGTAAAATGGCAAACTCTCCAGGCAACCCACTTGCCCTCCTTTGGCAGACCACCAGAAAAGCCAACTCCCCCTTCCACCCAAGACTTCTGAAAATATCCAGCTCCTTCCCTGTGACAAAAAATGTCTGGAAGCTTCTGTAAAGAAATGTCTCTGTTCCCTTGGGTTGTGTCTTTTCAAATGCAGTGTCCAAGATAAAGTTTGAGATAAAGAGTTAGCCTAAAGGTGGGAGCTGAATCCATTTCTGAATGTGATAAATTCACTGCTGCATTGCGCACCCCTTTGCCAAGCCTGCTGTAAAAGCCTGGGGAAAGGAGAAGAGGAGCACAGTGTTCCTTTTCGATGTGTAGATGCTGCTGGATGTTTGTCTGAAGCACTTGGTTCCCTGTAATTGCAGTTCTGACTTTAGGACTAAAATGTGTATTTGTTTACTTTAGATTTCTAATCCTGTTCATTCTGTCATGGAACTGCACACATTATTCCAATCATAGCAGGGCAGTCCATAGCTTCTTGACTTACCATGTAGCCAGCCCAGCCTCTTTGAAATCAAAGGCTTGGGGCTTATTTTGTTTCTTTTGCTTCTTTTAAATAAAGAGACTTTCCAAACAAAAAGCCAAACAAATTTTCCTGTGGCCTTCCTAGATTTGTTCTGCTTCAGTTAAAGAAAGATGTAGGACAAGTTAAAGTATGTTAAGAAACAATGGAAAAAAAAAAAACAAAAACACACCAACAAAGAGTAATCCACTTTTTCTGTGCTGAAGAGCTCCCTAAACAAAAGCAGCAACCTTTTAGGGTTTGAATCTGGGTGTCCTTGCAATCTGTGTCTGACCTCACCTCCCAGAACAATGAACCCCCTCACAAAGCGAGTGCCAACTGTGAGCTGAGTGTTCATTTGAACTTCCTCCAGCTCGAGAAGAAAGGGAAGCAAGAAATTCCTCTTGAGATGCCAGCGGGTCTCCTACGTGTGACTGGCAGCTCTGAGGGATTCCAGATGGCTTAAGCCCTTCTTTTGAACATGTCTTTTGATCTCATTTAAATTTCCTCCTGATTTCACCTGCTCTGTGTTTACCAACTGGAGAATACGCAGGTGGATGTATTAACTCCACCATAGGGTACAAAGGGATTAAAGGGAAGTTATGCGCAGGATGGAGTTTGTGTAGTACAGCTAATAGAGCTCCAGCTCTGCTCCATGATTTATGATTCAGAAACCACAGTATAATTTTAACAGACAGAACAAACAAATGAAAAACTTTCTCCATCCCCAGCGTGTGTTTTCTGAATGGTACAATGTTTACTCTTCAATCTGGTGGTCACCTAGAAAATCAAGTAAGACCAAGAAACTTTTTTAGAATTAACTTTTGGGATCACAATTTTTATCCTGTTCCTTGTTAACATATTTACAGCTCTCTCTATTCACAAACTTAGACAAAGTCGTCCTTCAAACTTTCAAACTATGCTTAGCTGTCAGACTTTTTTTTTTCCATAACAAGTAGCAACAAATAACAGCACTTGTGCTAATGACAGTGGTCTTGTAACATCAATGTTTTAGCTGAACGAACCTTGCAGAAGGAGGCAGAGCAGTCAGGATCATGCCCTGGATGCAAGAAGACCTCAGAATCAAACAGATAAACAAGATGGATGCACTGGGTCCTTGTTAAGGAGGGCATGAAGCAGGCCAGTCTGCAGAGACAAAGACTTTCTTTGGTTGGGTTAGTGTGTACTTTCATCTGAGAAGGGATTTTCTTGCTCCATTTAAACTCATGACTGTAGAGCACTTCTTAACTTTGGTGTAGGTAGGCACCCCATCTGTATCTCAGCTGTGTCAAGATGAGACCCAGGTGTAAAATTTTCCCCATAGTGTGGTTTCTGTGGAGTATATAAGCTAGGAGAAAGCTGTTTCACACTTTTTCCATGTTTATGGTGTACTGCCATGGACTTCAGACATCAGTTATTTAAGTATGTGTTTGTACGTCACTTCATGCAGTCTTAGTCTCAGGCACTGCAGATAAAATAGGTATTTTAATCTTAAACCCATGGTGGAATCAGATAGCCATACGTCAAGACTGCACAAGCTACTGGCACAAGTACAGTGATGCAAATGTGAATGGCACGGCCAGATAAAATTAACTCTACCCCATCTGAAACCGAAAGAGGTACATTTCAGGATAACCCTCTCATCTGCTTAGTGGTGTCTAGCCTAGCAAATGTATGCAGCCCTTATGTTGTGTCCCTACTTCAGACTTTCATTGACTTCAGTGGGAATTGTGCATAGATGTGATACCATTTGCCTATCACTTGGTCCAAAAAAAAAATAAATAATAATAATACTTGCAACAGACAACAGAGAATATGAGACTTGGAGTTTTCCTACTGGAAACAGGAAGACCTGAAGTTTTACTGTGATCAAAATCACTGGAAAGGAGTACAAGAGATGACATTACTCATCAAAAATAGGTCTAAAAACCCTGTACAGATGAGGTTTGCACCTACTGTGTCCCTATGCTATATCAGATTTTTCTGTGATCCAACATTAGAGCTAAGAGAAACTAAATTCACCTAGCGACTCTAGGTGAATAGAGACTCATCTGCTTCCTCAGCTATCATGCACAGCCGCAGCTCCCATGCCTGTCCTTCCACCTGTCCTTGGCCCTAATATTGCATCTCCTTTAGAGTATGGGACTGTCAGAGTCAATGACATGGTGGACACCATTGATGATGCATACCAGCCAGAGAACATGCATCGCTTAATGACTGTTTTGTTACTTGTTTTTAAGTAAAACCCCAATCATGTTGTTTTCCAGAAATACATGAGCTTTCCCCTGCCACATGATTCATACCTGCTGGAAAGATATGGTTAGGTCCCCAGCCAAGTCACCCAAACACCCTGAGCTTGCCCTTTCTGACTGCTTGCTTCAGAAGAGTCTCATCTGACCAGTGTAGATGTTTGTAACTCAGAGAGCCTTCCAGACGCCATCTCTAATTAAAGGAGAGAAACAGGCACTTCCACAGCATGATTCTTCCCATCCTAAACAAACAAACAGAGCAGTCACTCCAGCAAACAGCTCTGCTGACTAGAGAGGGAACATGTGGCAGCCAGCATAAATTTAACTCCCTGCCTAACATCAAGCGAGAGGAGACCTACCACTTGTTGATGGCAGAGTCACACTTGTTCCTTGTCCTCCCCTCGGGGTAAGTCAGTAGGGATGCCTCTATTTTCTTATTTTCACTCGGTGTGGTGCCCAAACCAGCTTGGCACGAGGCAGGCTGAGAGCCCTGCCTGCAGCCATTCCTGTGGCTGGCAGCTGGACGGGCCTCCCCTGGCCGTGGCATCTTCTCATCCATTCACATCGGTGCTGAGCAATGCGAGGCACCTCCCGCTCCTCGTCCCTCGAGGACTGAACACGTTGCTTTTCAAACGTTCCCAGCTCTCGCTGCTACAGCTGCTGAAGAGCTGCCGTGGGTTTCTCTTCTGAAGAGCCCAGTCTGCTGGTCCGCAATCACACCAGCCAGCCAGCTCCAGGTTCTCCTGACCTAACATGGGAAGGAAAAACCCTGCTTGGGCTTTGCTCTATTTCCAAGTTCCCATGGAGCTTGTCTGTTTAATTAAGGCTTTGAACCCGCAACCTATAGAGCATTTGATGATGTGTACATCTATACCTTTGGTTTTCAGATAGACAGCATGGTGACAACATCCTCCTTGTTATGCCCTGGCTGGTGACTGCGGCCTACAGTCGGGATGTGCTGTCAATTTTCATCCTCGGAGAGCCAGGTCTGGCAGCAAATGTTTCTCACCATTTCTTCATGGTAGACAATATTCCAGAGGCTACAGACAAGATGGAACGGTTTAAAGAGCAGCCTTTTGAAACACAGACATGAAAACGAAGCTCTGTTCAGCTGCGCTGTGTGGCAGATGTATCTCTCAGCCCTGGGTACAATGCTGGTAGTAAAACCACGTGAGCTTTCAGGCGATGTCCCAGGAAAATGTTCACATGTTGACTTTATGTGCATGAACGTTCTACATGGTGTGGAAATCCTTTTGTTACCCAGTATTCAAAACATTTTCTTAGAAGAAAAGTGGGAAAATAAATGTCTGAGAGGAATAAGCAGCTGTTTGCTGTTAAAGATCAGCATGTTATACAATCAAGTTTACAATAACTGCTTTTAAATATAAACTAACTTCTGACCAGTGTTTTCCAACATACTGCAAAATCTGCATGTCATTCTTTTTGTCATTTACAAGTAAACACCCACTGGAGTGTTTTATAGTTTGTAAAATATGAAAAGGGCTTTGTTCATGAGAGACCACTTTGATTTACGGTAAGATGAAAACCTATGTGCCAGAAGCTTTTTTGTTTTTCTTGATCAGAACTGAGCAAACTTTTCTGCAGCTTGACCACTCTGGTCTCGTTGCCTAAACACACCAGCAAACAGCTAACAATTGTGGTGTCTTTTTTTTCCTTTCCTTTAACATAGTTTTCCTTCCCTCTGGACAGGGCAGATGTTGGAGAATGGCTTCAGCAGCCAGGAAAGGCCTCTTAATCTCCTGACAGGCCCACAGTACTTGAACCCACAAAAACAACAATAATGAGGAAGCTTGAAAAATAAACAAACCAAGTGGGTGCATCTCCATCTTCCCAGTGCCTCCACGCCAGACAGTAATGCTTAGCTACTGTGTAGAGCCAGCAACTGCAGCTATAAAAATAATGTAAGGTTAGAAAAGGTGGGGAAAAAAAAAATCCCTCAGAGTCACTGATAAAAAGGTAGAGTTGCCACACCTTTAAAATTATATTGTTACAAAGGAAACACTGCCAGCATTGTTGGATTTGTCAACCTCATTGTAACATTAGACAAAGAAAATGTCTTGTACACTACATGCTAGCAGCAAGAGCAACTTCTACAGATAACAACTTCCTTTCTTCTCCTTTTGTTTTCACAGGAGGGAGAGAGCAAAAAAAATATTTAAAAAAAAAAAATAAATTAGGGTTGATTTGAATATGAAGCAAGGATCTGCAATTATCTTGAAATGTCTCCTACCCATTTCTGAAGTAGGTTTGAAACTTTTGCAAACAGCAACTTCCCCAGTTCCTGTTGTATGGCTATTTGCATGGCATTGCTTTGCTACCCTTTCGGACACTCTCCCTATTATACGAGTCCCTGTTTCTCCCATTGCTTAATCAGAAGGCGAGACCAGGACTTGACTCCATTGGCTCTGAAGTTTGAAAGATTTTTATAGAATTATTTCCTCTCATGGAGAAAAATAATTAAAGAAGTGGATAAGGGGTAGTGACTATTGCAATGTTTTCCACTGAGAATGGGAGTACTTTGGATACAGCTCGTTTAACAGAGAAAAAAAAAAGAATAAGCCTTGCCTTGGGTATGTTCACAATGCCATAGGACACCATGCGAGACAGACACCTCCTTTGTCTGTCTGTCTGTCTTCCCAGGCAAGGCTTCCTGGAGACTTCTGACTTTTTCCTGCCCTTGTCTAGTGCAGAGACATCCTCCTCAGCTGAGGGCACGGGGAGCCCGCACCAAGCCTCTTTCTCATCCCAGTCCCTTGCAGGCAGAGAAGGGCAGAGTCTGCCCTACAGCTTCTGTGCTTAGGAAATTACTCATTTATTTTTGAATGACCTTAATCTAAAAGTCTTGTGGGCAAGAGTAGATGGTGGGCAAACTCTGGGCACTGCTGGGTCTGTTGTAGAGCACAGTAGTCATGAACGATGTCTTGATAAATCCGCTGCAACTCTTTTGGTTGGTTATTAGTTGTTAAATTGGCCACAGCTGTGCCAGGTGGCGCTTTGGAAGGCAGGAAATAGCTGACGGGACCTGGATCAAGCACAACCAAGTAACAGCCTCAGCACTTTCTCATTCTGGGGGTGAATAATTGGTATGGACTGGGAGGTGTGGGGGAGAGATGGAAGAAAAACGTGCAAGGCTTTCTTTTTCCAGTGAATTTCAGCAAAGTTTGCGTGTTATATCATGTCCCGTTGGGTTTGAGTCTTAAATGGGAGATAAAAATAAACTTCTTTATGTTCTGTGAGTAGATCACTGAAAGAGTGATTTAGGAGGAAGGAAAGCTAAGCCCTTTTTCCTAACCACCCATATGTTTATCATATGCGCATGGGAGCAGACAGGGACTTCTCACCCTGGAGAAGGAGCTAAAGCACAGGAGAAATTCACAGGGACTTGGAGAAAATTTGGAGCTTCTGCTCTTTCTTTTCTAGAAGCTCTATTCTCAGGAATCCCTAGACAGACAAAAAAAAGGGTGGCAAAAGATGAATTATGTTCTGGAACAATAGCTGGGTTTTAAAAGAGGTTTATGTGTGGCTCAGCAGGGCTTTGTGCTGGATCGCTCCCTGAGAACCTGCTGGGACTTCCAGCCCTGCACCAGGCAGTTCTGGGTGTACGACTAAGTTCATGGATAAAGTTAATCTTTGATCTTAACATCTGGAAAGAGGGTCATTTTCAGGTATTTGAGTATTCAACAGGAAACTGTCTATGCCAGCAGGGTGATGCCAGGCAGGCCAGAGATGTACATCTCCTTTTGCTTCTGAAGATCAGTAACAAATGCTCTCCCCTCCTGCATTTACACCCATGGTTTCCAAAAACAAAACTTCAGCTGTCCTTACTCGATACTATAAAATGTGGTGGTTGGAGCATTCACATGAGAGGTTAGAGATGTATATGTGAAGCTGGATCATGACACAACAAGGAATTCAAGACACGATGTAGGAAAATAATCTAAAAGGGTGTTGGGGGTGGTGACAAGGAAGGAGACCGTCCCAGGGTTTGCTTTCCTGTCTAATCGGAGTCCTGTATTTTAAGTGAAACGTTCCTTGGACAGGAGCCCTTGGAGAAGGCATCCACAGGTGTCTGCGTTAGCCACCGAGCTGGAGACCAGCTCCCCCACAGAGGCATGAGCACCTGGTGCAGCGTGCTGGGCTCCACGGCTTGGGTGGCTGCAAACCTCAGAGCCAGATGCTAACAGGTGAAACCCATAAAAACAATCCAAGTGCTTTTTCAAGCTTACTTGGGGAGCAGTAAAGCATCTCCCCTCACCTTCCTTATGCTCTGAGTCTCAGGCACAGGAAGGACACGTACAGCTCCATGGATGCTGGTCCATGAGGAAGCTGCCAAATTGCCTACTCACTTCACAGATCCCACCCCAAATCTGTTATGCATCTAAGCATCAACCTCAATTTTTGGTGCTGCTTTTCCAGCAGCTGAAATAAAATGTCTTGTCCTGCAGTCCCTGCTCCCGCAGCTGTTTGTGTAGCACTGAGGGGCCACCAGCACCCCCTCCATGTGCTGTGGCATCCCAGGCACAGCCTGAGCACTGACCACCTTCCCTCTCCCATTCACAAGTCTTCTTTTAGATTTTCTGGGCTCCAGCTGGATCTGAGAGCTCTGAGCAGCTGTGAAGCTGTATCTGACTACAATACCGTGACTGCTTTGCCAATGCTAAGGAGAGGGAACATAAATGTTTAGGAGATTTGTAGCTGCAGGAATAAGGTGGCACATGAACTTGAAGCTGAGAATGGTTCTTGCAGGACTAGTATGTTTACCCGGTTCCTTGAAGAGTCTATCCAAATAATTTGAGAGCTAAAAATGATTGTTTCGGAGCACTTTCATAGCCGCAGACAATTTTAGCATCTTGTTAATTGCATATTTTGCAGGAACGTTACTTTTGGCTCAGGAAGAGGCCACAAGATGCATTGTTTGTTACTGCAGTTGTAGCCTTAGTGTCCTGGGTGACTTTCTCCAGAAGAGAGGTGCTTCTCAGGACTCTTTGACCCTTTTCTGTTGAACTCTGATCTTCCAGCTATGTGGCATGTAGGTCTGCTCATGGCTACCCTCGCACAGATTGTCGTGGGCTTTAAGCAGTTGCTTGCTCAAGGACAAAAGGACAAAACTAAGTCTGTGAAAGACAATTGTTACCTGTATTTCACAGATGGAGATTTACAAAGTTTTTTGGCTGAGGTCACTTAGCTGTGTTTCCACAAGAGCAGAGGACTGAACCCAGTGCTCTTCAGATCAGAGAAGAGCATGACCACAGTCTAGTTTGCTCTCGTTAAAATTTCCATGGAACAATGTATGTAGCACAGCATTGCTTGATTGTGCTATAATGGGCTCAGTTTAGTAGGTTAACTTCTGTGGTGCTATGGTGTCTTTTCCTTCACTTAGGATGAAAAATGAGCTAAAACCCTGTGCTTCTTTTTATTTATTTATTAATTATTATCAATTTTTATACAAGGTTTTTTTTTTTTTTTTTATTATTATTATTATTTTTTTAGAACAGAAGGGGAAAGGGGAGGCTTTTTTTTTTTTTTTTTTTTTTTTAAAGAAATCTTATAGATGAGACCCATCTGGCAAAGACTGATGTGCACTCTTACCTCCTGTCTGTGATGGGCACCTCACAAGTAGTTAACACAAGCACGGCCCTGCTGAGCCTGGACCCATGGTTGTAAAGGGTGCCTTATGAGATTTGGGCTTAAAGGTATATGGTTTCTTTGATCTTGTAAAATCTGCATCAGGCCATGGAAGGAAACATTTGACTTCAGGACTTCTGTTGTCCAGGTATCAAGGTATTTAAATAATTATCTGTTTTTTTTTTTTTTTCTTTTTTTTTTTTTTTTTTTTTTTAATTAAATAATTATGAGTAGGGGCTGAAATAGATAGAAACCCTACTTAATACTCCAAAGAACTGAAAGAGGCCAGCTTACTGTGGAGTCAGACTTACTCTGTGAATTTGGCTTGGCTGATTTAACTTGAAAATAATAATGCACACAAATAAGAACCTGAACTCCTTCCCCTAGGGTTTCCTGCCCTGATCTTTTGCTTGAAGAGACAATTCACATTTTTCATCTCTCTCAAAACAAATTAGGCCCACATGCCAGCATGACTTAGTGATTATGTAGTAATTACCTTGAATATTTATGCAGGATTTCAGTAGATAAGCTCAGGGTGAGTCATCAGAGGGATTTTATTCTCTTGCACAGTTTAGTCCCTAACTCCTTAAAAACATCACTTAGTTTCTACTGAAATGCCTTCTGCTTGGCTTGAATTTCAACAGGATTTTTATGCTGTCTGCGTTATTGTTCTTATTGCAAATGACAATTTTATGAGCCATTCAGTGTTTGAATAACTCTTTTATTTGCATCAGTTCAGACTGGATTTTGATTGAGAGCCACAGACTTTATCTTGGTGTGTTTAATGTGGATGTTAAATCACAGAAATAAGATTTGAATTAGAAGGAAAAGTAAATCAGAACTTAAAAGTAAGACTCTGGCTTTGTGTAACTCTCCATATTAAGGCAAAAAGAATGTATGTGTGTAATTTGTTTGCCTCAGTCTTCCTGATGTAATTGCATTTTATTTATTTATTTATTTATTTTTTCCCTTAAAAAAGTGAAAGACCAAAATTTTGTCTCCTAAGTCCAGTTCCTGTGTCTCTTCAGTTGAATAAGAAATGTAAATGATTTCAGATTGCTTCTTTTTTTTTTTTTTTTTTTTTTTTTTTTTTTTCCAAATTCATTGTAAGTTTTCCTTACCTCAGTTCTACTCTGAATCATCAGCCAAAGGTCTGGGATGACTTTCTTTCAATTGTTGACAATAAAAAGGGACATTTTATGTCAGCTTGTGACACTCTTTTGTAACTCAGAAGCATGCAGAAAAGCTTATCTATGTTTTTGTGTAGTGAAAAACTTCTGTTCCTTTGACTTTTATTTTATTTTTTATTTTTTTCCCCAGAGTATAACTGCTACATACCTGCAAATGAAATGTATGTGCCTGTTCTGCAGCTCCTCAGTGCTGTTGTGGTGTACTGCTAAATTAGTGACCTTGCATTTCCTTTTCCTAAATGAAGCCTCTTTTTGCAGTCAGGTTTTCAGGGCAGAGCTCGCACACAGAGCATCTAGGACTAGGTGCCACGTGGCAAGAGCTTTCTCCCTTAGCTGTGCCGAGGGGTTCTCTGCTCTTGCACTCAGGCCTGTAACTGTTTAATATGAGAAATGGGGACTTCATGTGCTTGACTGCAGCAGAAGAAACCCAAACCGGCTACTTTTAAACACTGGAAGCAAGCAGTCAAGCTCATGCCCTAGTGAGCTAGTCTGTGGCAAATGTTCAAGGGAGCTATCTTTAGCTAGTCTTTCAGTTTTATTTTTTGACCCATCTACTCTGTTTTGTTTCTCAGTTTCCTTCATTTTCTCACATCTGTTTTTCTCCTTTCTGTGCTCGCTTCCCATGTCGTTATATTCCTTTAATCTCTCTGATTTTCTCTCTCTCTCTTTTTTTTTTTTTTCTTTCCTCTTTTCCCTTTCAACAGCAGTCTCTCTCCCTTTCTCTCCTCTTTCTCTTTCCTTCCTGTTGTTCTTGCCATCCCCCCAACCTGCCTGCTTCTGGCTTTTGTACCCCCACACCTTCTCCCTCCGTCCTGCCCTGCTGCTGTAGTTGGCAGTTGATTTCTGTCAGGCAGCCCAGCCAAAATTGCAGCTAAAGATGGGCATTTATTTTTTTTTTTTTTAAATCAACTGGACTAGTAATAATTGCAGTTTGTCGCACATTCTCAGTGGGAAATGTTTTGTGAGTAAATCTCAGTCAATCATACTCTGGCACTGGAATAGGCACCTTGTTTAGTCTAGGGGCACTGCAGAAATTGGCCTTACATCTTTGCTTTCAAGCTGCATTTGAGCCCTGTTGTGTAATTGCCATTTGCATGCCAGAGGGATTGCGTAGGGGTGCTACCCAGATCAAAGTTGCATTCATCTGGGCTTGGGTGTATTAGCTGTAATTAGTAATGTAATTTTAGGAGACAATGCCACATTTGTAAGGTGAACAGAAACTACAGCAGCACTTCAGCAGAAAAGCAGTGGTGGTGCCGCCTGTTCCTCTCCCAGTAGCAGAAACTAATTGCAGTGGGAGGTATTCATCTTATACACATGCACACAAAAATAATAAAATCTGACACATTTCCAAACTAGCATGAAATACGAACTGAAATGCAGGTACTTTAGGTTTGTGGCTCTTACCGGTGGAAAGAAAGTGCTGCAAGGAGTGGGTATTTGCTTTGTGCTGAGCAGGGAAATGGGAGGTAAGTGGCCACCTGTCAGAGTGAAAGGCAGTAGGATTTGGGGGAGGTATTTCAGGTTTCTCTCTGTCCTCTCTTCAGCTTGTTGCTGTTCTTCCCCTTCTAAGGACAGTCCTGCTTGGACATTTCTTTCTCTGCTCAGAAAATGTCAAGACAACAAGCCTAGATTTCACCTGTCCCCATATTTAATAATAAAATATAATAATAATAATAAAAGATTAAGTGTTATAAACATTATGGTAGGCAATTTTTTTGCCCTACTAGCTCATCTTGCTCTTCTCCCCATCCACTTCCCTACTTTGACACAAGTGTCCAGCAGGGAGGGTGGGCAAAGACCCTGAGGAAACTGCAGTCCTAAGGGGTTATGGTCACTGCAAACCATGGCTGTGTGCAAAGCACATCACTAATTAAGGATAGGTGGGATTATGACTGTTGCACAGCATGGCAAGTCATGGTGAAATCATGCCTTAATTTGCAGTGGGTCTTGCAAATGAAAAGGTATCCAATGAAGCATGGCTTTTGGACATGTGTATCCAAGGGCCTAAAGTATCTCAAATTCTGGGTGACTTCAGGTACAGTTACGGAGCAGGAGTTTGGATCTGAGCACTACATGTGATGCTTTTGCATCCAAGAATTGAACTGATCTGTGCTGTATCTTTAAAAAACAAACCAAGTCTGAAGGAATCACTCCGGCTGGGCTTGTCTGACGTGGATAGATTTTATTGTCTCAGATCTATCTCCACACAGTGAGCAGAACACGAACAGCACACACTGAGGGACAGTTCGGAGCTGCCTGTGATCCTATTACAGGTCTCAGACATCAGAGGGTGCAGGGCTGTGTCTGGGCGCAAGTGTGGACTGAGGGTACGGACCCTTTCCATCCTCGGAGAATCCACTCCTCCCGTGAATGCCTGGACCAGTGTTTGACCACCCTTGTGGTAATTCATGCCACACAGGAATTTTTTCATTCAATTCAAGTTTCAAGATGTTCTTCCCTGAATATGCAATAAAATATGGGGGGCGGGGGGGTGGGGGGAAGGAACTAAGAAAAACGATTGTTATTAAAAATCAGGTTTTCTAAGCAAAAAAAAAAAAAAGAGATACAGTTTATTACTTTTTTATGTAAACATATTACTATACCAATGTGAAACAAATTATTTTAATTTAATTGCAATAACATTTTAATCTACTTATTGTTTTGGAATTTGTATTTACAATTGTAAGCTTTCAACTCAAAAGCCCGGCACTTGGCTTGTTTTGTTTTCAATGCGCTGTCTCACATGATTGTCACTCAGTAAGGTTTATTACTCAATTCTAAATGTTTTCCTTTCGCAAAGGCTCACTGGTGGTAGAGGTATTTATGTAACCCAGGCAATTTGGAACTTACTTGGGGTCTGCAGTAAAATGCTCAGCCAAATGGTTTTGATAGTAAAAGGAACCTCTTTTTTTTTTTTTTTTTTAATGGGTAGATCACAATGGTGGCTGAGAAATCTTTGTTGCTCCCTTTTCTCCCATCAGCAACACTCATATCCAGGCTGAATAAATCCTTCGACGGCATTCTTTGCGCGTGGCTGTTTGATGTGCTTCCAGCAGCTTCAAACACAGGAGGCATCCAAACTGTAAAGAGCCAAAACGGCCGAAACTCCACCGTGGCAGGAGCCTTGAACAGCAGCGGGGCAGGCTGGCAGCGCCTTGCAGGACCAAAGATGCTCACCCAGCAGGCAAGGAGACAGCTGAATCCCTCTGCTCTCCCGTGACGTGGCAGTGCTGGGAGTGCCTTTCTTAGCGTGGACTTTATTAAGCTGCTCTAAACCAACAAGCCAAGCTCCCCACCAGCATTCGACCGCTGCGCCAAGAGGAAAATAATGAGGTTAAAAGCACTGCACAGCAGAAACATATGGGACTACAAAGAGGTTGGGATTGCCAGAGAGTCCAGCACGGTCATATCAGGGTGCTAGGGATGGTGCTACTGCAGTGTTTGTTGAGGCTGGTGGAGGCGATATTTGGCTGGTGGCCGTGAGCACCTTCCTTGGACAGAAAGCGATACATCTGATCAGCTTTGGCCACTTCTGAGTGCCACAGGAGCCTGGGGAGCCCAGCTTTCTCCTTTGCTTTGTCCTCTGACTTCAGAGCGTGGCTTTCCTGTTTAGTTCCCTTCTGTGTTTATAACGGGCCAAACTGCCCACATACTGGGTGAGGATGCTTCTGAGTGGAGAGATTTAGGAGTTTTGAATAAAGCAGCTCTTGTTAAAAATGCTGATTTGTCAAAGACAACTTTTTATTTCCCATAAGAACGTGGGCATTTATTTTATTTGATTTGATAAAAGTGTTTATAGGAAGCATCTCTTCAAACCCAGAAGACTAAAAGCAGACCCTCGCCAAGGACGAGAGAATTTGAGGATGAGTGAAGAGAGTCATTGTTCCTTGCTGTTTGTCCCAGACTCTTTCTTCATTTCTCATGCCTGCATAATGGGAAGTGCATGAGGTTTGCTACTGCCCCTGCTGAACTGTGGTGCGGATAGACTTTGTCTTCCTCAGCTAGCATTCTGTCACCTTTCAAGAGGGAAAAATTCATTTTAAAAACAAAGATCCCAAGTAAGAAACCTCAAATAATTGTAGGAAACCACCACAGAGGTATACAATATCCAGCTGAAGACCTTGTTGAAAACCGAACAGATTATGCTTCTTATATGTGGTTAAACTGTGCCATTAATGTTAAAAACTGTTCAAAGCACAAAATAAATTCTGATTTTTTTTTCTGTCAAAGTTTGTGGTTCGATGTTCACACATTCTAGGCTCCAGTTAAATGATTTACTGTACGATTTAATGTCTTTCAGCTGTCACTCGCATAAAAGAGATCCCTTGAACGATCTGCCAGCAAATGAAGGCAACACTTGTCCAGGGTGGAGGTTAGCCAGGCCTGGAAAACCCAACTTGCCAAGATATGCAGGAGCAATCACGTCAGCCACCGTGACCCATACGTGGAACCCAGAAAACATACACGGGGGTACGCAGCCACGCGGCTGCGATCAGATCTGCAAAAACACTTCATTTAAAATACACTGAGCCTTTCACTCGGTCTTTGCAGAGGTTCATACTGTAGGCATGCTGCTATTCTTTGTCCTTCTTTTGAACTTTTCTCTGTTCCTGAGCTTCAGATGGTGTGATTTTTTGAAGTTTTTCTCAAAACTCCTTCACAAAGGCTTTTTAAAATCCTAATTCCCACATACCAGCATATGGAGGAGAAACAGTTACCATGGGACTGTGAAAAACATACCTCAGGAGCTCCGGAGCAAGGGAGGAAATAAAAAAGCCACAGCTCGTCAGAAATTACATGTTCTGTTGTTTGGCACAGCTTCGGGTTCGTGGCTTTGCCACTAGCTGGGGTGCTGCCGTGCCTCTCATGCACTGGGCGTGGGGGCACGAGCAGCACCTGGCGGTGACCCCTGCCCCTGACCTGCTCCATCCACCTCTGGGACGTGGGGCAGCACTGCCCTGACGTGCTCTGCAGGACAGAGGGAGGAGAACAAGGAAGCCATCTGAAACCAAAGAGTACACCTGGATTGGGATTTAGCCCTAGTTCTGGGGTCATTAACCATTTAGTACATTCATGGCCAGCACCAGCTGTTAGACAGAAGCTCAGAGTAGATGACCACGGAGGTAACTTCACAGTGTATCTTCTACAAAGCCCTGGTTTTAATACTCAGGTGATGCAGAATCTGCCCCAGGTAAAACCTAATGGTTACTGAATTCACAGTGAAACGTGTACCCTGGATCCAGTGTGAAATTTCTTTAGGTTCAATCTTTCAGTGCACTGGATGCTTTTGTAAAAGGGAGTTGATCTTGCGAGTAGCCAAGGAGTGTGGCTGAAATACCTGCTAAGGATCTCCCTCTTTTTTGCTGATCTGCTGGAAGGCTGGTTGAGGGTGCTTACCTGGCAGAAAACTGTTTTTTCTTGTGAGGATGGGCTGTGGGGTGGAGGAGAGACCCCTCTTCTAGCAGCAGGGAGCTGTATGGCTGGCTCTGCTGGTCCTGTTGAATTGTGTTCAGAGTCTGTCAGTCTGACACGCTTCCCCATGATTCTGAATAGCTCTTGCTGCTTTCTTCTCAATTCTCATAAATTTTCCAGGATCTCTTTTGAAATATGGGTACTGGAAGCAGATTTTTTCTTTTTTTCCCTGGGACTAGCGCAACACCTCCTTAATAACAACATCTGGTTAGGATCTTTAATCCTGTCTGTCACAGAAAATTACATCAGCATCGCTGCAAGGTCCTCTCTTGCCCTTTCATGTGAGCGATGATTCAGTACGGTATGAAAAAGAAGAGAGCCACTGTCAGATCTTCACTGCTCCTGCTTTGATGGGTAGCTCAGCTGGGAGAGCTCTGTTAAGCTGGGGAAAGTAGGCAGGATCGCATAGCTCAAGGATCTGGGATGAGCTCAAGGGCAGTGACCAACACAGCAGTCCCAGAACGGCTTGCAAGTCAAACAAACACTCATGCATTCAGCAGAAGTCACTTCTAGGCTCCAAACGCATCCCATAAAAGAGCCAAGTCAGGTTTGTGCCATGCAGCTCTGCTGCCAGATTCAAAGCAACGAGGCAGCAGCTGTATAGCTGCACTCTGGCTTCCCAGCAAAATTGAAGTAACACTGTTGTATCGTCTTTTTATAAGAGGAGAAAGCCTCAGTGGAGTGTTACACAGTGGATAGGAAGGCGCCATTAATAACAGATAAGGTTATAATTAATATATATAATTGGATTGCAAGGTTTTGAAAGGTCCCCCTCCTTCCTCTTTTTCAAGGGGACATTGAAAGTTGTCTTTTAGGGACCTTATTTGTTGAACTAAGACAGACGGACAATATGTACCTCCCAATTAGCCACTTTTTTCCTTGTAATTATTCTCTATTTTCTGGGATGCTGGAGCGGACACATACAAAAATTTATTTATTTATTTACTGTTTTTTTTCCTAGTAGAGGAAGCTGAGTTAAACAGAAATGTGAGGTTTTGCATTCCTCTTTCCATCAAGATGTGGCATGCAGCAGGTCCTTTCCTTTTATCTTAAACTCTTCCAGAACAACCTGAGCAATGGATCTGAGAGTACTGCAGCATAGCCGGAGCTGTTACATGAGGACACATCAAATCCACTTAAAAAGTGAAGAGGGATCTAAATATTTAACTGCTCTCCTGTCTCTTTTCAGGTACTTTCTGCACTCAGCAGCTCAGCCGTTTGATTTAGGTGTTTGTGCTACTCATTTGCTTCAGAGAAGGCTGCTCTCTCTCAAGCAGAACAGATTCGTCTGAGCGATCAAAACCTATTGCAGTCAAAATACAAACCAACAAACTGTTTTCTTATTGTCCCCTAAATCCCCAAGGAAACGCCACATTCAAGGCACTCTGCTGGCCACATGGTTGCTGCTCTCTTTGCTTGTGGGTGGTCCACGAGGTGCTCAAAGCCGCTGCAGTACCATGGTACTGCTGGGGAAAAGTGCAGTCAAAAGCAGTGTTACTGCTGTACTGAGAGGCTTCTCCTAACAGGCAGGAGTGGGGACTTCTGAGCATATGCACTTCTGGTGGATTTCCTGTTACTTGGGGTCAATCTGACTTTTGTTCCTGTTATTTACTTGAAGTTACTGAGATTTAACTCAACAACAACAACAAAAAATGTAGTAGTAGAGGGAGAAAACCTAAATCAAATGCTTGGTATTAATAAATCATGCATTGTGAAGATGTTCAGGCAGAGCTACAGAGACCCACAGGGTTTATGGTGATCCCAGTTTCAGCTCTTTGGTGGCGATAGAGCTGCATTTGTTTCCAGAGCATCAGTGCACCCGCCTCACCTGGGAGCACTGTGGGACTCCACAGGGCACTGGGAAGCTCTTGCTCCCACTGATCTTAAAGAAACACAGAAAAGGAAAAAACAACAACCACCTGTTGTGTTAAAACAGCCACCTGGAAAACCCTCACACCATATTGCCAGATGAATCATTAAATCGGTTTAGCCAATGATATCTGAAACATTGATAATTTTGAAGGGGAGAAAGTGTCAAACTAGGTCAGCATTTCCACTGTATTTCCAACACAGTACAAGCTGGCCTCTCTGTTCAGGAATAAGATCCTCCAAGGATACACCAGGAAAGCAAGTGTTAGAAGGGACTTATAAGGATGTTTTTCATAAGCATCTAAACTGCCCATGAGCTGTGGCTTGGCCAGACATGGTATGCGTGTTAAACCCTGTGAAACATTCACATTTCCATGGAAAGATTTGTGCAACAAGGCTGTTCCTGTCTTCTGATGGGTTATCTGGAAAGGCATTAAGATACACTTTCTGCAATTAGTATAAATAACAGAATACGTTGCTTTAATTCAAAAAGATAGAGTGCTTTAAAAAATCTGTAAAAACTTTAAATTGTGATGCCTCATTTGAATTAATATAATGTGGATGTTGTGAACTATGGAAAGTCACAGGTAAGCAGTAAATCTGCTCAGCTCTGCCAGCCTTTTCCAAACCCCGCTGTTCCCCTGCCCTGCTGCTTTCTGTGCCTCAGAGAGCAACCTGAGGAGAGCCCTTGGCTTCTGGTTTGGCTTCGAACCTTTCTAAACAATCTTAACAAAGACACGTCTCTTTCCTCTCCACTTTCTGCTGTGATAAGCACCTGCTTAAGAGCACACGAGAGTTTGCACAGCAGCACTGGGCCCCGTGGGGCAAGCAAGGAGCAATGCTCCAGCAACTTGGCCCTGGAAGCCATGCAGGGATTTCATGCAACCACTCCATCAGAGCTGCAATAATGAATCAACAGCAACTGGGACTCATTTGACTTGAGAGGTTTTTTGTTTGTTTATTTGTTTTCTAACTAGCTGCTGTTGCATTGCTGCACCTGAAAACATGCTCTAAGGAAATCATGTTGGTGCAGTTTAGAGCTGGAGAGGGTACCGCTGGTCAAATCGTGATCAATGATTATGGTAGAAAATTTCTGTGTGGGGAGTTGATGTAATTTAAGAAAAAATAGTTGTGTTACAGTGCACATGCACTGGGAATCTTTGAGGATCATTTTTCTTTTTTCTTTTTGTACTATTTCTGACCATATTCTACATTTGAGTAATGGTCTTTCCCAAAATCAGTGGTGAAAATTGAAAAACAAAGCAGCAGCACTTAGTGTCTCTGGAACAAATAACAAAATAAATTATTCAGTTTCAAAGAATACACTTGTTATTTTTAAGAAAGCACTTTCTAAGAAATTGATGGGATCAGGAGAAGTTCAGCCAAAATTTCTGAGGAATCTTAAGTCAGAAATTTCTGCATTTTTTCCTGCCATGTGTGACCGATCCCATCAGCCAATCTTTGCCTCACAAAGAGCAAAAAACTGGAAAATGTGACATCTGAGTTTGTGAACAGCTCCTGGAGCATCCCTGGAAGCACAGAGCAGTGGATGTGTTTTATGTTCAGGGCAAATAGTTCAGTCCTTTAATAAATGGTTGAATCTGTAAATGTGAAGATAAATACACCAGCGTGAGAAAGAAGCAAATGGATTAAAAACAGATATGCCTTGCAAGCGTGTGTTTATTTACCAGTGTGTTGGACACTCAGCTGAACCAGACTTGTATTTCAAGATAACTTCTCTTGATGGAAACATCCCAGGACCCAGAGGAGTCAGTTGTCCCATGTAGTGGACAGTGGTTGGGGTTACACATTTAACCGCATCCTAGTATCATTCTATTTCTTTCATTGCTTTTCAGTAAAATCTCAAAAAATACTTCCTTCATTTCCT